GGGGTCAGGATTTCAGACTTTGAGGTAGAGTCCCTGTGCCAGCAGTCATGGGAAAACGCCTTCAAAATTGTGCAGGGAAATGATTTCCAAGTTAGTTGGAAATGATCTCACAGAGATCATCAATTCAGTGTTACGGTAGAATGGTAACGTGCTTGCTGGGGGAGGACCCTAAAAGTGATCTCCCGTGCACTTCTTCACAGGCGGCTACCGAAGGAGCTACTTCATCAAAGCGAAGATGCACAGCAGAGAAGAGGTGTCTGGCGGGGCCAGGAAACAGACACAGCTGAAATGCACCCCGCCTGGTGGGCGCTGCGGCTGCTTTCTCTTCTAAGTTTTCAGGCACCATTTGATTCTTTGAACTATGAACCCATATAACTTTGATAAAAATGAAGCTTAATTAAAGGGCAGATAATTGAAAGACTCAATAGTGAATCCTAGTTGCCAGCCAAAAGAGGGGAGGAGGCAGGCAGAGGGAATCCTAGAAAGGAGAGCTGAGTAAGACCCAGAATTGGCAGGACTGGCTCTAAATACAGAAACGAGCCGGTCTGTGGGCGTCATATAGTTCATGCTTTTTTTTTGTTTTGTTTTGTTTTTGTTTTTGTTTTTTTTATATAGGGTTTCTCTCCATACTCCTGTCCTATCCTGGAACTCACTATGAAGGGCAGCCTGGACTCGAACTTGAGATCTCTCTACTTTTGCTTCCTCTCGTTGCTGGGATGAAAGGAGTGAATCACCAAACTCAACCAAGAATTACAATTTTGAGACCTAGACTATAGTGAACTTGAGGCCAGCCCGGGCTATATAACAAGCTCTTTCCTACCCCCAAACAAACAAACAAACAAACAAACAAACAAACAAACAAACAACAGACGGAGCTGAGGAGATGAGTCAGCAATTAACAGGTTCTCTGTTCTTTCAGAGAACCTGAATTCAGTTCCCAGGACCCATGTTGGAGAGATCAGAACTTACTCACTCACTCACTCACTCACTCACTCACTCACTCACTCACTCACACAAACATCTCATAAAATAAAAACAAATCTTAAACAACAGATAAACAAAAACAAAAGGAGGAAATGAAACCACCTGCATGCATCTGGAGGCACAGATGCAGAGGTAGAGGACAGCAAGAGTGTGCAATGTGGCAAGAAGATTCTCCCAATGTGCTCCGCACATACCCCTGCCCTCACTCAGTGATCTAGGGCTGTCCGCCTGGTCCATATCACCCCTGGCAGTGTAAGACCCGCTGGGATTGGCCAGTTTATCTGGTAGTCTGGATGTGTGCAGCCCATAACTGAGGGCAATACCCCATTCCTCTGGCACTGCTTTCCACAGCTTTGCTCCCTCTCCTCCCACTAGGAGCTACAGCCTGGCCCATCACAATTCCAGGACAGCCAGGGCTACACAGAGAGAGCCTGTCTTAAAACAAAATGAAACGAAACAAAACAGAAAAAAGACTAGTAAGTGCTCTAAGCCACCAAGCCATCCTCCAGCCCTCTTACTAAATGGTGGGGCAATCTGAGTTGGGAGGGGACCACAGCCATGCCTAACCTTATCTAGTTAGAAAACATGGAGGTAAGGGTTCTGCTTCAAATCCTGTTGCAGCTCTAGTTGCCTAATTTGTAATTCACAATGTAGCCCAGGCTGACCCTAAATTCTTGATATCCTGGTTATTGAGAAGACAGGTATACGCCATCACACCCAACTTAAGTTAGGATTTTCAAACTCCAGACCCAAGTTTCTTTGTTAGCAATCCTTGACAAAAATGGGCTGGAGCTAAGGTCATTGAAAAGATGAATAAAACATGAATAAGAAGTGTGACCACTTTCCACAAAGATATTTCATGATTTGAAAAGGATTACAAAAATTCCATTGGTGTGTGATATCTATCTTCAGTTGTTAGTATGGATGTAATATCTATTGTGTCATTAATAGTAAACGTGCTGTTGAAAGTTTTGTATGATTTTTTTTATTTATGATTTATTTTTCACATTTTAAAAATGGATTTATTTTTATTCCATGTGTGTTGGTGTTTTGCCTGCATGTATGTCTGTGTGAGGATCCTCCGGATCTGGAGTAACAGACAGGTGTGGGCTGCTATGTGAGTGCTGAGAACTGAATCTGGGCCCCGAGAAGAGCAGGCAGTGCTCTTAACCACTGAGAGCAGGCAGTGTTCTTAACTGTCTCTCTAGCCCCAGGTTTTGTGTGATTTTGATATTAAATTCTGATCATGCATTTTTCAGCCTGACTGTATAGGATTTCACTAACCTGAGGACTTTGTTCCTGTTTATTCACTTTGGAAGAGTCCAGCCCTGCCCTAAAGAATGCTTCCCTTACTGATATTTGTCATAACACTTTGTCTCTTTTCTTTGTAAAGACAAAAAAAGAAGAAGAAGAAGAAGAAGAAGAAGAAGAAGAAGAAGAAGAAGAAGAAGAAG